TGGAATTTGCATTTGTGTGAGCTTTGTTTAAGACTGAAGCATGCTTTGAAATGATTTCAACCTTTGTTTAAGTGGAACCTAATTTGAATTCGCAATTATCATGCCTTATGCTTTTGTGATTGATGTCATGGATTGTTTAAAATATTTGTATCTTCTTATTCTCTTTTGCCACTCTCTAAAAGATCCATTTAGATTTCCCTACCCTTAACTAAACCTTCTTTCAAGCCAAGACATTAATAGTGTGTGATTTGTGAGGCCTCTTCCATCATGGTTGTTGCTTAGCAAAAAGTGTTGGGTGTGAACTACAAGGGAAGTACTTCCATTGTAGAACTAGCTCACTCTTGAGTTAGATAGGATAGGATGTTTGGGGAATGGTTTGGGGATATCTTGGGTTTAGATTTTAAGAGAGGCAAAGAAGAAAAGAAGTCAAGGCACAAAAGAAAAAGGAGTGTGACACAAGCAAAATGGTGGAAATGGCGATTTTAAACTCAAAGAAAGAAGGCTCTTGTTCAAAGAAGAAAAGAAGATGCAAGAAGTGCGAAACCAGTAAATCAAAAATCCAAAGGCGAATCAAGCACCAGCATCACCAAATAATGGAGCCAAACTCAAAAGAAGCAAATCGCCACCACTTGAAGTACAAAGGAAGAAGTGTCCTCCAAAGCACTTGACGAAGAAGAGTTTTTGGGTTTTAAAAAGGGTTTAAGTTCTTGTAAAGGGTAGCACAGGATGGTCTTTCATTGCTTAGCTAGATTTAGGAACACATCTTATAGATCTTGGGTAGATGGGAGTCTTCCTTTGTATGTGTAAATTATTCTTTGACCTTTAGCATTTTGCCAAAGCACAACCATGCTTTTTCTTGAGAGAACCCTTTAAACACCAAAACCAGTTTGTGAAGTGGGATCATTTTTATTCTACTAAGCCTTGTCCCTTAGCCAAGTGACACTTTAGCATTTGCATAAGAATGATTCACGGTTTGAGCATAATTGAATGTTAAAAAGGTTGTTTGATTTGATGAGCATGTGAAGGTTGAAAGCTTAGTGATGATCCTTATTCTTGTTTTGTGATGAAAGTGGCTAAGTTTTTAAATTATTCTTCCATCAAATGCACCCTAGAATTAGGAACATGGACTTCATTTTGATTTATTGTTAGCATTTTCAAAGATATGAGTTCACATTTAAAACCTCATCACCATGTTAAGTGATTGTTTGCTTGAGGGCAAGCAAAAGCTAAGTGTGTGGGTGTTGATAGCTTGCTATTTTAGATCATTTTAGGCTGTATTTCATGCATCTTTTCCTCTGGTTTTGCATTATAGTTTAGCATTTAGGTATCATTTGCACTTAGAATCAACATAGCGTGCATTTAGCTTAGGATTGCATATATTTGCATACATGTGCATGTTTGTGGTGGTTTTCAGGTGTTTTTGGAGTTTCTTGGAGCTGGGAAGGAGATGGAAGCAGCTCATGATCAAAGAAGATGTCAAAAGTGGAGTTCTTGCAAAGTCTGGTCCATATCAAGCAAGCATATCAAGCAGAACACTCGTGGAGTGTGCTCGATGCAAGCACCATGACGAGAGGAGAAGGATCAGCACGAGGATTCCAAGCCATTGGTCTGCATCGAGGACCAGCATCGAGGAAGGACGTCGATACACGCTGCACGGGCCATATCGAGGTCGCATATCGAGCAGAACATCGATTGTACGACCTCGATGCAACTCATCCGCGTTGACCATTTGACTTTTTTTTAACCTTATCTTATCTTTTTAGGTCTTTTATGCTTCTTTTAGCTCCCTACTATAAAAGAGAAGCCACAAAACATTATCCTCATTAAGCTTTATTTTATCTAATCTCAAAACTCTCTCAAAACCTTAAAGGGCGATTTTGCCTTAAGGATCTTGATCTATAATAAAGTTTGCATTTTTATAGTTTTATCTTGTCTTCTAATCTTTGTTCTTGTATCTTGGTAGATTAGATGTATCTTCTTTGCATTTTAACCTCATCTAGTTATGTTTAACTCCAAATCAATAGGATTAAACATGACTAGTGAGTAGTCTTCTTTAGGTTTAGGGTTTTAAGTAGGGAAAGTGGTGATTAAGATGTGATTAAGGGGTGATTAGGCTTGTTTAATGATTCTCTGTTATCTCCTTTTCTTGCAAAGTGATCAATGTTGATAAAGCTTGCTCCTTTTGATTGAATATGGTTTGATAGATGCATATGGTTCACTTGATGTATTGATATCTTCTCTAAGTACAGTTCGCTTATTTGGCTTGATAGTCTAGCTTGGTCTATGTTTCCTTTGTTCAGTGACACCAAAGTGATAGTTCACCTTGCTAGGTGATTTGCTTAGGGCTAGATAATGCTGGTTTTGAGATTCTTGACTTGATGGTTAGATAGTATGCATCAAAAGATCTTGCCTTTGCTTCATTCTTGTTCATTGATTAGTTTTGATAGGATGTTGCAAGTGTGTGCTTAATCCAAATCCTGATTGGTGTATAGCTTCTTAGGTCCTTATTGGTTCACAAGATTTATAAGTTGATCTGAATTCTTGCTTGGGTGAGAGAGTAGTTGCTTGATTCATGCATCTCTTAGGCTAGAATGGTTCTGATCTTTATGCTCATGGTTGAAGGATACGCCATCACAAGTGGGTCTGACACTTCAATCTTGTTGAATATGAATTGCTTATTGACACCAAGTGGTTCCCTTTAGATACCTTGTCTAGAAGCATAACATTGAGAATTGCTTGCTTGATTTATGCTTGTTGAATGCCTTAGAAAGAAATCCCCTCGTCTCTCTTGAAAAAATTTTGTCTTACAATTCCTTAGAACCTTGAGTCTTGCTTTTAATTAATTGTCTTCAGATTCATCTTGCTTAGTTCTTGCTTTAGTAGTCATTTCTTGCTTACATTCCTATTTATTTATTGCTTTAAGTTCAACTTTTTAGTTTTGTTCACTGGCATTTAGTTTAAGCTTTTCTTTCATTAGACCATTGGGTTGTTAGACTTATTCTCACATAGTCAAATCCCAATCTTGCTTAGCTTACAACATTGTTTGCATCTCATCTCCCACAATTGGATTGATACATGATCTCTATTCTACAACTAATTAAAAGATAAGGAATTTGATCTAGTGACCAAAAACCACTCCTTCAGAACTCACCTCCTTCATTATTCACCAATGTGATTGCTCCATAGGATAAAATTTCTTTGATCCTAAATGGCCCATTCCACCTTGACTTGAGCTTTCCAGGAAAGATCTTCTTATCATGAAAGGCTTTGGTCCTCTCTTTGTAAAATTTTGAATGCTCATAAGACTCCAACCTGATTTCTTCAAGCTCATGAAGCTGCTTAAATTTTCTATCTTCAGCGCTTTTAATGTCTCGGACAACAAAAACATATAGAATTGACATATACGTTTTTGTCTAAACTTTATTAATTTGGGCTGTGGGCCTGTTTTAATATAATAAGAAAATCTACTTTACTATTTATCTGAGAACTATATTTGCCCAATATATGCTTTATGGTTTTTAAGTTTCACCATATGAAAGTTTTTTACAACCAAAATATATAATACAAAAAACATGAATTTATATAAACAACAAATATAATATTGGCTCGAACACATATAAGAAAGATCATTATTACAAAAATATAAATCATAACAATTCATTTACTTTTTTTTAGAATATCAAAATACAAGTATACAATTAAGATCTTACATTTTAATTTTCGTAATAAATACACTCAAAATATCCACCAATTTAAAAAATATTGACTTTAAAAACACAAATTTCCCGTGCATGGGTCATAATCTAGTAAGTTTGAGATTAGGATAGACAAATGTGGTTCTAATGATTTTTTAAGATGTTAGTGTTAGATATTTATGTTTCCCTTTTGTGCAATTATGTTTAATGCCAAGTACTTTCTTTTTGTCTGAAATATAACATAGGCGTTTCATTACCACCCATGTGTTTGATGAAATGTTTGGATGAATTCAAGTCTTGAAAATGGTGTTTCGAATGTCTAGACTCTTTGCATCTATCATTTCTTGTTTGAATGAGTTTAATGCTAGAGTACTTAAGGGATTGACAAAGTGTCCTTAAATGAAGATGATGATGCATGAGAATGTGAATGAATGTCTAAAATATTGCACAGAAAATTAGTAAACCTAGCTTAAAGAATTAAATGCTTTTTTTGTCACCTAGTTGTTGTTAAACACTAAAACTACATCTATATATATAGAGTTATTTACGTTCAGGGCACTTTTTGAGTTCAAGTTACAAAAGAGGCACTTTTTGAAACTGGAGCACTTTTGCTATTGAATTGACAATTATGTCTTTGTAAGTGATAAAAATCGATTCGCGTCTACGCGTTGGTGTCCATCCATTGTGAGCGTTACTTAGTGTCCATCAAAATCTTATTGTAACTATCAGTTAGTAACAATTTGTACGAGTTGTCTCCATCAGATCGCGTCCACGCGTTGAATCCATTGTCACTATCACTTAGTGTCCATAAAATTGTAATATAGTGATAGTAACAATTTGTATCCATCGAACTATCTTCATCAGATTGAATCCATCGAATTGTATCTGACGAAAATAATATTTTTAGGCATTCTACTAAAATAGATAAGAAAGAAAATAAAAAAATGGATAAACATAACATTTACAAAAAAAAAATAATAACACTTAAATATTATCACTAAATATCCGTATGTGTACGTAGAGGCAAATCAAAATAAAAATAAAACACATGCAACACACATTCTCTCTAAATATTAAATAATTTTCCATTAAAAAAAAGATCAAACAAATAAAATGAAATATAAACATAGGATTCTATAGTTCCACAAAGTTTTTATGTCGAAATAGTTGACATATATCAAATATAAAAAACATTAATGACAACAATCACAATCAAAGATTCCTCCCATCAACCACACACAGAAGATAACCCAACTTCACAGACACATAATGTACAATGTAAACCCGGTAAAAGAACATAACATCTCAGGGGCCCTTGTCTCGTAGAGCTTCAGAGTGCATAGCATTGTAGTCTTTTGTGTAAACCCGGTGCCTTCTCTCCCGGGCGTATATAACCCAAAACACCAAAGACAGCATTACAGCAGTAGACACCAACACAAGGCCCACATAGATCCACCGCGTGTATCTCTTCAGTCCCGGGCAATGATCCCTTTCAATATCAGTGAATGTGGACCTCACGAAGTCACACCCTTGCAGGTCTGCCAAGAATGGACCGTACTTGTACAGACCATAGCTTACATTAACTGCTGCAGCCATTTGGGTGTAAAGTTTTGGGGTCAGACGTCCCTGTGTGCTGCATGTCCCTGGGGTTATAATTTTGCAAGTGTAGTTCTTCCACACCTGCATAAAAACCAATCAAAATACAGATTGTGGCATATATTCTACAAGTTTTAATACATGTAGTTTTAAGATATGTTTTGTATCCAATCAGTACTTCTATTTTCTTGATTTAGGAACTTATATGGTAGTTCCTTTTGTCTTCTTTTGTTTTATTGTATATATGGATGAAGTATTGGTTATGAGACTCAACAAGAGAGAGCATTAGCTATAGTACTTGGTGAGAGGGAATCATGGGTTTACCTCTGTTGCATCGCTGAGATGGACCTCACCGGGCTGGCACTGGTGGTCAGAGAGATCAGCGTTGAAGGGGTTACAGAGCACGGGCATTAAAGGACCCGACTGATTATAATAAAACGGCCGGAATTGAGAAGGGAAGTTCCTGTTGGTCATGTTGTTAATGGCATCGTCGACAATGTTGACTAACTGGTATGTCACAAGCTTTGTCCGAGTTAAGGTTTCTCTTGCGGTTGCATTATCAACACATGGTAGAATATCGTCTAGTGCCGTGTGAGCTTTTGGGTTTTGGACCCATTGGTCCATGGCCACACAGGTATCCCCAACAACACTGACAAAGGAGTAGAAACTTGTTTTAAGAAACGTTTTAATGCGATGAGTAGATATATGGTATAGAGAGGAAACAGAGATTACTTGTGTAGAAGCAGAAATACACCACACAAGACAAAAGTACCAGTCACAAGAATCCAACCAAGGATCACCAATCTATTCATTGTTAATCCACATAGATTTTATCAACATATAGAGGAACCAATGGTAAAACGGAAGGTAAGAATGAGACTTCACTTACGTGTATACAAGACACTGCAGTCCAAAGATAGAGAGTACTGTATGTGTAATCACAATGAAAATAATCAGCAAGTTAAGTGTTGTGAGTCATGTAATCAATAACAATCCCTAAGAATGTGCTAATGCTTACTAACAAGACGACTTACAGAATCCAATAAATGCAAGGAAAAGCATTACAGCAGCGATGATGATGAGCGCAAGTCTCCTGCAACAAAAAGAGACAAGTTATAAGAAATAATGGTCAAAACAGATAGAAAAGATAACAAGATGGTACTGTTTTTTTACATGTTGTCCAAGACATCTTGAATCTTGTCTTGATTCTCCATTGTTTTGACAGAAAGAGTAGTTGCAGAGGAGTTAATCTTTCCCTGTATATTGTCGATGCTCGATAAAACATCCCCCGGAAGAACAATGGATTGTACATCCACCTTCTTAGCTGCATTGAGATAATCTGACACATTCCTGAGGTTCTCTGACGTGAAGTTTGCTTTACTCACCACATAGTCCAAAGTATCTGACGTGCTAGCATGAAACTTCCCTTGACCCGTGTATAGAAAAACACATCCCACACTGAAACATCAAACACAAGATACCGCGAGATTTATCAAGAAACACGGATGACAATAGAAGAACCTGTAAAAAACGGAGAGTGGCGATTACATTGCTGCGATTGTGAACGATATGAGGAGGATCAGGGAGAGAGCATAAGCAATCTTGGAGTAGCCGTAAGGTTGACGCGCACAGCAGCAATAGCAGAGGCAAATAAGAGACAAGCATAGCCCGAAGAACACAAACCAGACTAATGCTATCACAAAGAAAGGCACTGCTGTATAAGCAACAGACTGCACCCAAAGCAAAGAATGAGAAAGATGATTTTAGTCAGAAGTTTAAAGTATGTCACAAATATCCTCCACAATGTTCAAGCATAAAGATGAAAATTTTCGATTGGTTTTGAAACATATGTCATCTCAGTAAGCAGAAAACTGATTCAATCAAGAAGGCTAGTTATGAATGCTAGTCCAGTTTTGTTTCTACTGATTAATACACATTACACATTCAGTATAACTAAACCTTAAACAATCAAACTCCACTCAGACAGAGTTTGGAATGTAAAGGTAATAGGAATCTAAGAACGGTAATAAATATGAAAAATATCGATTGGTTTCAAACATCTTTCATCCATAGAAGCAGAAGAGTGATTTCATGATGAAAGCTAATCCAATTTGTTCGGTGATTAATTCAGCATAAATACTAGTCCAACTCTTCCATTGATTAAAGATAATTACACATTAAAACAATCAAACTCCAGCTAGCAAGAGTTTTGATGGTAAAGATCAGAAGTTTAATTAAAAACTAGGAATCTAAGAACCTAAGTCAAACCCAACTTGGGAAAGGGGAGAAACAGCACCCAACAGAGAAAATTTAGGACACTGGACCACAGAATTAAAGACTCACAGTCCAATAATCGGTATTGCTTATGTTCCATCCACCAGTATAAAGCTTGAAATTCTCATGAGGATCTTTTCTTTTGGTTCTCTTTGCAGCCAAAATCAGAGATGAGTTTAATTTATCTTCCTCTGCCATAAACCTTTCTTTCACACTTGTCATCCATTCTTCTACACCCTCTTCTTCTGCAACAGTCCAAGCGAAATTGAAATAAAAATATTTCAGAAATTTAATCGAAATTTGATAAACCAGTAATTGTTGTTTAGAAGTAGATTAAAACTCCGTCTTTCTTACCAGCAATGGATGTTGCAGTGACGACCAGAAGAAATAAAGAGAGAATACACCCAAGTATAACCACACTTCTAGATCTGGAACACAACATACTGTCTGGTTTTTTGTTGTTGTATGTTTATTCTCTCGTTTCAGTGTGTTAATGTTTCTTATCGATCGTTGTTGTTGATAGAGAAACAATGGCAGACGTGTTAAGAACACGATTAATTTGAGATCCCGCTTGACGCGGCTCTCTTCTCTTCCTCGAATCCATGACATTTTTTAATTTCCAGATCATATTTCGTTCTTTTTTTTTTACCATCCCGAAAGTAGTTTTTAATTCTTTCGAAAAGATGCTCCGGCTAATTAATTTCTTTTCGTAATTAATTCAATTTTTTGTGAACCAAAATAAAGTTAATTCAATCATAAATATAACGTAAAATGTACTTATTGTATCAGATATTTAATATTTAAGTTGTGTATATTTTTTGTTATGTATTTTAAATTACTAGAAACATAATATGATTATGAATTTTTAGATATATAATGTAAATATCTGTATTATGCTGCAGGTTATTTTTTTTCTTTTTTTTTTATCAAGCTGAATCGTATTTGGTCAAGAGTATAATTTGTTATATCAGCAATTTCATTTTAAACATTTTAAATCATTTTAATACAAATACCTTATTATAATATAAGGTTTTATCGATTATTTTAAGGTTTTTTTTTTAATTTTAAACTTTTTTTTGTCGTTTGAAAAGAAATTTCGTATTTTCCAACTTAACAAAAGCAGTATGTCTCATTTTTTCTAAACTTTTTAAGGGTAAATTTTATACTAATATATTAAATAAACTATGTGTTTTAAAAAAAAATTAATAAAGATTTTACTATACTACTTGGAGAATGAGAAATAGCTATGAAGATAATCAAGATTAGTTGTTGTGATTTTTTAGTTTTTAATAATTTTTACTATTTATTTTGGTTAAATTTTAATTTAAAATATTTAATTATTTTAATATTTTATTATTGTAATTAATCATTCTATATTTTGTTAAACATGAAATCTATTACAAATTTTCCAGTAAAGTCAATTAAACAAAACTGAAAAACTTGCAGATAACATGGGTAATGAAGATATAGCATTGTGATGGATATCAGAAATTAAAAGTTCTCCTCCTTTATTTTTTTCTTTTTTTGCATTGCTTTGTTTTTTACTTGATGGAGAAGTTACCCAAAGTCTTTTATTCTGTTTTCTCAATTTTGTTTTTATTGATGCTTTTGCACGAAGATGTTAAGCTGATGGCAGAAATGGGCTTACAAGATTCTTCATTTCATGGATAAGGCTTATACCTAGAGGATCCTTATGAGCATAATATGAATAAGCAGAGAGGATCTGTAGGCTTTAGTATATACGCAGTTGGGTTATCTCCTTATAGTAACTCCAAGGAGGATCATGTCGCAACTGAAAGAACGAAAGATTTCCTCTTTGGCTCGTGAGGACTAATAATTTTTTGTGTGGTTGTTGCTGTTTCCATAAATTTGAGGACAAAATCTTAAAAGTAAATTGAAAATCCATTCCAGGATGTTAAAGCTTTTGATGTTTGTGAGCTATCTGTAAAAACCCAAAGTCGAGCTATGAAAGAACTAGGGTTTGGAAGGTTTTAAGGAGATCTTTTATTAGAAGAAGCCGGAGCTTGATTGAATATAACGGTGTTTAGGTCGTCGGAATAAGAACGCCGACCTAAAACTCTTAAGAAAAGTTAACCAAAAAACTAGAACAATCTGATTGCTTAGTTTGCTTTAGGTCTGGATTAATGATTTTTGGATCTATTGAGAAGTCGAGGACTTCCTATATTTATACCCGATCAGGTCGGTCTTCATCCTGTTCGGAATAGGAAACTCTCGTCGTCAAGGAGTTTCCTTTTTCTCCGGGTCGCTTGATAAATGGAAGTTTTCCTTTTATGTTGCCGACCTGGGAATTGTTAGATGGGCCGACTAGAATTCATATCGGGCTTGTTAGAGACGGTACGAATCTCATCTCTAACAGTAAGTCCTCCCCTCCCCCAGTTCGACAAGTGAGGGTGCATTGCTTGTCGAATTTAAAGAAATGCTGTTCGATATAAATTCTGGTCAGCTGCAAAATATTACCTGGATTTCTGATCGGCACGGTGATGAGGGCCAGATTGTGATTTTGGGCGCGAAAAGTTCCCGCCCAAAAACGATGTAGGTTAGGCCTAGGCCCACGCATGCCGAACTAGGGTTGACACGTGTCAAACCCTAGCAGGAGAAGTCGAAGAAGCCGATTAAACTTTAATGAGAAGAAATGCGAGAAGTCGCCGTGCTCATGATGATTCTTGATAACCGTCCAGATATTTCTATAAATAAGAGGGTTCGGCTTTAATTTCCTCACTTCTGCATTTCTAGCGAAACTCTGTCAAAATCAGGTTTGCTCTCTCCCTCTTCTTTTATTTAGTTTTTTTAGATCTGCCGACTAGACCTCCGCCGTGTTTCGTTCTGAACGCCAATCAAGCATGGGTAAAAGTATTCAGATCAGGGAGAGGCGACCAGGGTCAGAGGAAACCAGATCGGCACCAAAGAGAGCTGACGATCAGGTCGATAAAAGACGATCGAAGGGAAAAAGGGTCGTCGTTGAGGAACCAGAGTCGGATCGGTCTTCGGATGCGAGCGAGTTGTCGGCGTTGGATCGTGCTTTCCAGGAACGCGTTCGAGAGATGAACCAGCAAGCTGCGGCTGATCGGTTCCATGCCGATCAAGTTGGAATCGCCCAAAGATCTGGGGAGACATCGTCCAGGGTCGAATTCGAGATTCCAGAATTGCGTGATGAAGAGATGTGAGAGGTGGGTCGAACGAGATGGATATCTCGGACGAGCTGAACGCCATTATTGTCGAAGACGAAGTAAACCAGTTCGGAATCATCGATATGAATCCGCCAGTGGAGAGGATCAAGAGGCGAAAAGGGGAGCCGGCAGTTAGGCCAATCTGCGACAATGCTCTCGGGGTGATGCCGACCAAATCAACAATGGAATCACTGGTCACGTTGAAGGAAGAATGCGACATCGGTCCTGAGGTGATCTTCATGGTTCCGAGCCCGTCGGAGCGACCGTGGGATGCCCCTAGAGGATGGCTATGTCTACACGAGTGTTTTTCACGGATTTCCATCTGTGGTTCCCGCTCCCGAGGCTTCTTCTGGAATTTGCTGCCCACAAAGAAATACCGATCAGCCAGTTTATCCATGCGACGATACGGCTGATTGTCAGCATGCTAGTGATGTCGACCAGGCAAGATATCCCACTGAGTCGAGCAGCGTTTGATGCCATGACGAACACCCGTCGCACGAAGGCCAATTTGAGGAACCGGGGTTCGTATTATACGAGTATGAAGACTCGATACAACATTGTGACTGGTGGTCATAAGACCAAGGTGGCGGACTGGAGAGATCGCTATTTCTTCGTGCTAATCAACGAATTTTCCATCGCCGAAACAGATAGAGATATCCCGATCAGAACAAAATGGGCGGAGGTCATGGGTAGAGACATGACCGATATGCAATATAGTTTAACGCTATATATATTTTTTTTTTCTAATCGAGTCTTTTATATTACAGGAAACAGGCCTCTTCCATTTGTTGACGATCCTCTCGATATCGATGATATCTCCAACCGGTTCGCTGCGATTAGCGCGATCACTTGGCCCGAGATCACGGAAGGAAGGATTGCGAGGATGAGAGGTTTGTTCGATCTGACTTTTAAACCTGCTTTGATCTGGGGGCTTTCCATCCGACCTCATTTTAAATTCATTTCTCAGTTGCGCTTGAACGACGCTCCCGACGACGAGAGAAGATGAAGTCTGTTGCTTTTAAGGATTTATCTGCCGATCTGGAAACTGCCCTAGTGTCTCCAATTCAGAATCTAGAGAATCCCGTGGCTAAGGAAGCCGAGCAGGAGGCTCTGAGCAAGGCTGAGAGGGAAGCAGCCAAGGCTAAGAAATCGGCCGATAGGAAGGCTGCTAAGAAGATTGAAAAAGCTCGCAAAGAGACCAAGCAAGGGCCGAGGAAGGATGATGATCAGTGTCATATCGTTGTAGGCGGGGCTGAAGGCGGCGATGGAAGCCCCATGAACCCGAGGAAAAGGAGTTCGGCAGAAAATTCCAAACCGCAGACGTCAAAGAAGTCTCGTGCTGAGAGACAACTTCGCCCGTTCGGGTTTTCCTACGAGTACCGCGGGGATAGCCCGATAGTGCACGATTCGGTATCCTGCCTGGATTATTTCCTCAAGCTAAGAGATAACCCGGCAGGCCCATCTACTGACCCTCGCGGGTACATTCGCAGCGATGCGATTGCACGCTTTGCGCATGAACAAGCCAAGGTAAAAAATGTCCCGAATGCCTTTGTTTTTGCAGGCCCGTTGAAATTCCTGAATGATTGATTGATTAATTTTTTTTTTTCTTTGGTGAATACATGCTCTGAGTACGGTATTGACTGCCGTGAATGAGTACGACCGGGATGCGAAGAAGTTCCTGGCCGTGGAAGCCGAAGTGGAGAGTCTTAAGGAAGCTCTCGAGGCTGAACGGGGAAGAAGGGCCGAGCTGGAAAACGCGCTTCATAAATCTTCTGAGGAACTCGAGAAGGTTCGCGCCGATGATACTGAGAAAAGCAAACTTCTCAATCGAATGGCGAAGAAGATCCAGAAAGAGAGAGCTGATTCTCGGAAGAAGCTGGAGGCCGAACAGAAGGCTGCGACGGAAGAGAAACTTCCCTTCGGGCAAGAAGTGGCAAAGCGCGCGACGATTGCGGTGAACAATCATTATGCGGGTTTAGTCGCAAAGGTGAAAGAATCGCTCGCTCGGAAGGCGAAAGCCCATGAGTTGATTTCGACGGCTGCTCAGTGGGTCGGAGCAAAAAGGGCGCTTGAGATCGTTTGTCGGCAAGGTTACAGCTTTCCGACCCTGGTGGAGGAGAATATTGAAAATCTTCTTAGCGAGAGTAAGGCACAACTGGAGGCCTTCGAAGAAGTCAGCTTCACGTCGGACGAACTCCAAGTTCAAGAAGCGGAAGTCTTCCTTGAAGTTTCCAGTGATGCTCAGCTTGATGCG